CTGAGAATGCTATTCTTATTGTTATTATCTTGTGAGGCTTAAATAGGGAGCTCTATTCTTATCACGAACATCAATATCTTAGGTACGGGGCGATATTCTTATTATCATTATAATAGTGTTATCTCTCCCCCGTACTGGGATTCAGTTTCACTTTATTTCATGGTGAAATGTGCATCTTTGGTATTCTGATTGGATACCGGTCTATTATGTGTGCAACGGCCACCCTCAGGCACTAACTATCTTGAATGAAACCATGAATGTTATCATCCACCAATTGTCGCATCTCCCTGTCATGCACTTCGCCCATGAACGAGCTGGGTATATGATCTGTTTCGTCAAGATTGACAACCTCGAGCCACGGTTTGCTAATAGTCTTTCTATAGAACAAAACGGAGGTTCCGAGAAGTTTTGGGTCTGGATGAATCCAACCAACGATTCTGGCTCAGCATCGCACCTATTAGCAGCTGATACCGTTGCGCAGGTGCTTGGATGAAACATAGGATAAGCACTCACCGGATCACCGAATCGAGGTCAATAAGTCTGGCGACATCAGTTCGGGACAAACTGCAGAGCCAGGCGCCGTCTCGACTTGTCATCGTGAACGAGAACCCCCATTTTGGCCACCCTGGTCTCCTCCCGTGTTCTCGGATTAGTTGGATAGTACGCTCATAAATGGGCCCTCCAACTGACAGACCGGTCCCTGTAGGTATGCTGTCATACGCCTTGACTTTCCCAGAAGGCCTATCTACGAGGAACGGGACAGGGTAAGCGTAATTGATAAGTTGGACATTGTCAAGACAGCAGCGGTCCTCGATATTGGCTCGCCAGGGGATTGGTTTCTGGAGTTGGGAGAGGTCGTTTGCCGAGACATATAGGCGGGCTTGCTGCCAACGGGCAGTTTCAGATGCGAACGGCTGCGGTGGGGGGCAGCAGAGGACATCGATCGAGTAGCGGTGGATATGTGTAGCAGGTGGAAAGGGTCGTGGAAGTTTGGTAGACATGCACGATATGTCGTTATGTCGACGCGATGTAGGGGGGCCGTGATACGCTGCGGTGAGCTTTTCTTGAAGTCGTTTGCCCCACCACTTGGTATTTCCTGTTGCATGAGAATTACTTGGGCTGATTCGGGATAGGGCCCGCCTCCAGATACCAATGCCGCCCTTCTGGGATGTCGTGTCTTCCGATTTTGTCTCTGTGGGGTGCGACGATTGCAATGATGAAGATTTTGGCTTCTCAGAATCATCCACGACGGGTCCGTTATCATGTACATAGGGCGGAGGAGGATTCGTGCTATCGAGGTGGTCCTCGAAGAGGTCATTTATGCTTTTTTCCAGCATGTTAACTCAGGGACGGCTGAATTATTGGAGTGTCAAAGGATGAGAGAGGACAGAGAAGGTGGGAAGAAAAGAAGAATGACAGTTAAATGGATAATTATAATCAGCGTTTATTCAGATGAACAGCAAACTTTACCATTCTTTCCCGTGGCGCAAATACAGTTCTGGGACACACTCAAACCCCACCACAGATACGCCGATATTTGCTCAACCTTAACCCACTTGATCAAGCCCATTTTAACTGGGGTAACTTTCTCTTTTTAACGCAGATAATGCATTTTTATAGGTACTTGCTCTATGTGCATTATTAAATTCCATTTGTGCGTCTATTAGAACCATTCGGCATTGTGTAAGGCAGGTGTGGCTTGCTGTCTGCATCCAATATCACTCTCTCATGGTATTTAAAGATTAAATTCCAATTTTGAGTACCTAGTAACATTGATGATTAGATGCGACACTTACGATGGCGCTTTTTAAACTCTCCTATTTAAAACCACCTCGTTGAATGCTCGTTAAACCCTGCCCCTATTGTGATTTCATGGAGTTATTAATCACAGCCCTGTTGATCTGCTTAACCGAACCTTCGTGAGCGTCAGTCCACTTGCACGAGCAGGCAGCTACGGACCTACAACCCGTTTGCTCAACCTGCACTCAGCTCCAGGACTTCCCTCGAGTGGGTATCCGGTGTCCGGGCGGGAAGCTGCACTTCTAGCTGCAAGCCTGCATGCAATGACCATGTCATGAACGGTAGGGCCACTGCTTCCATTGAGAGCTGAGAGACGGGACCGCGATGGGCCGACATGATCAACCAGCCGCTCATAAATGGAAGTAATTGCAACGCCCTTGACGGGGTTTAAGAAAAGACACCAGTTGTCACGATGCTGCCACAAAAGAATCAGGGGGATTACCCCTTCCGCTTCAGCTAGCATATACGCATATTACACTTGTCTGCTTGGAATATCTCAGTTGAAGGTAAGTGACCGGTTAGAATTTCCCAACTCATGTCACATCACGGCATCCTGCTGTCCGGCATGGCAGCGGCGGCAAGAGGGAAGTTGATGCATGGTTGGATATTGTAAATATTTCAAGTTTCAAGGCTCAATCTTCAACTTTTCTTCCTCCAGCCTCACATTAAATCTTGAATTCTGGTCTCTGGAAACTCCACCAACTCCCCCATCAACCGCCCAGCCTCTCGAACAACTTCTGTTATTGAAAAAAAAAGAATTTCGATTTTTTTTCGAAATAATAATGGCCTCCCAGAACTCCCCCGCGCCCGCCAACCAAAGCGGGAGCCTACGGATCTGAGGATTGGCATCAGGGCCCAAGATTGACACCCCAGAAATGTACGACTCTTTCAACACATGTGGCAACCGGCCCACAGTAAGGCCAGTAAAATACTGGCTTGTGATTGGCCGGTGGGCCTGTGAGAAAGATTAAAAGGGGGGTCCTCCCACTGGCTCTTATACGTGTGAGAGCTAGTGGGAGATGTAAGTGAAAGACAGTTGTTTTGGTGAACTTGGGAATCGAACTCGGGCGTTTGCACTTGGTATTCCACTTTCCAGTGTAGGAACCTTGGCGATCTTTTAAATAGGCTATTTACTATGGAAGTTGCGATAATATTAGTTTTTTCCATTTTGCGGTTAATATGTGGCCTGTGGGAGTCTTGGCCCAACTAAGCTTTGGAGGCCGATCAAGATTGACATCAGGGCCCAAGATCGGCACGCCAGAAATGTACGACTGTTTGGATTCACAGGCTCCCGCTACGGAACACAACAACAACAACAACAAGGCCACCATCGCCGAGCTTGCTGCCGCGCCTGAGAGCGCCCACCTCGTCCTTGGGCGCTGCGCGTGCGGTGATCTCCATCGGTGTCCCAAACCCCCAATTGACCTTGTACCGTGATTTATCCAAATTTGGCTTACTGACTGAAGCTTAGGCAAGAGCAAGGAATGATATTGGGGGGGAAGGATACGGTGGGGGCAGACCGCCGGCGGCGCTGGACGAGGTGGGCGCTTTTTCGGCAAGACGTTTTGGGCTGGCTGGCGTTTTTTTGGCTCGCTCTGGCGATTTGGGGCTGGGGTTGGGAGTCCGGGTGGTGATCGCGGAGGCGGTGGTAGCGGTGCTGTTTTTTTTGGCGGACGTTTAGGGCTACAATCTTATATTTCTCCAATGCGCGGTGTGGGTGATATAGCTTCTGCTGTGCCGCAGGCCAGGCTGCCTGACGCAATGCAAAGGAATGATCAGATCACCGCTCTCTCACCCAGCCTTGGCAAGATGTGGATGTAACGACCACGAGGATGATGAGAGCGATCGGTTAAAACTTACAGTCGATAGACAACAGCGATATGGTACTTAGATAGATTATTTTTGTAGAGCTGGAAATAGATGATCGTAATAATGCGTAAACTGGGATCGCCGCCGGGTTTTATTTCTAAGTTTCAATATTTATTTTCTGTTAGCGCTTAGCGGCCAAGCCTAAAGTGTTGGAAGATCGAGGGGGTAGATGTAGAGATACTATAAGGAAATTCACCTCAGAATTTGGCAGAGAATTCTTCCAGAATCGGCATCACATTTCCCTTGAATTGATTGACTGGATGTTCATCCAACACGACCATACACACCCATTCTGTCCAAGGTACGGATGTCGGCAAGTCAGCTCGGCCTGAGAGAAAGCCAACCCAGGTACCAATCGTGATGCACTAGTACCAAAGTGCCAGCGTACCTTGTAGACTTCACATGTGAACGTAACCTGCCTAATCGGCAGGAATCGTTGAAGAACGGGAAATATCTGCTCAGCTCGTTCAATAGTGCCACCCAGCGCCACACGACTTCACTCCTCTTTCTGGTGCGGGCGTAAAGGAATCACGCAACCTTGACTATTGACCAATAGCGCAGCGAGAGTAGGCCAAGAAGCCGATCATGCTAGAAGTGGTGAGCCCGGAGTTCGATAACGTCGGGTCTAGGCAAGAGTAGCCTCTGATACCGAGGGTAGCGAAGTCACATCACATCTAATGACCACGGGATACACCTGCATAAGCGCTTCTGCGGCTCAGCTGACGGCGACGGCGTACCGCTCTAGCAGCGGCAACTCTCCGGATGTAGCCAAAGTTCTAGCCTCTCTGGATTGATTATTGATATCTTAGGTCTCGCCGTCGGCGCTTCAAGTCGGTTTGAGGTATTGGAATCTCGGCTCCAACTGCTCTTCCGTAATTCACAGAAGCCTCAATAAATCATTTTTGGAGATTGGCAACGAGATGATCCAAACAAATCTCTTCTGTATCATGCAAATGTTGGGGAATTGCATTTCACTGTATCATGCTAAGATGCCTTCATAACTTTGTGTTGAGCATGGAACTCCTACTTGCTGATGTCATCGCTTAACTGCTGGATGAGGGAGGAGAAGCTATGTGATTGATACAACTAGTTGCAATGATGAACATCTGAGTGGATTGACAGGAGAAGAGAGGGAATGAAGAGCAATAAGACTAAGCTACGTGTGTACGAACTACATGGAGGAGACAGAAAAGAAAGATAAAAGACATGAAATGAAAGGAATTTTGACAAGACAAGCCATCTCGAGAGCCTCACAACTGGAACCGGCAAAGAGCCATCCCTAGGGGCATTTCTGATGGGAATGCCCAAACCACCCATGTAGGTAACTTGAGTCAAGCATCCTTGGTGGCATCCCAAAGCGTAGCCGTCCTCTTCAAATCAGCCAAGACACCAGCAACGCCCCGAAGTCCCAAATTGTTGAACTTGCCCGACATGCCGTCCTCCGTCCACGCCGAGAGCTGCCAACCGATCGGCAGCCAGGCCAGCGGGCGAATCCAGTCGTAGTACCACTGGGATGCCCTCTCGGCCTCCTCCTCAGTGATATCCTCCTTGTCGATGTGCTTCCTGCGGAAGAAAATTTGCGCCTCGCGCATCAAACGGGCAAAGTCGCACACATGGCCCAGGAACCAGGCACGATGTGCTATTTTGTACATGGCTGCCACGCGTCCGCCCAACTGACCAGCCCTGGCACGGGACGTCAGGACGCCGTTTTCGGTGAGGAATGCCACGTTTTCGAGGAACTGGAAAATGGCAAACAGGGAGCATTGGACTGCGGAAACGGCCCAAAGCACCTTGTCCATGTCCTTCGAGTCAGTCATCAGCTTTCTCGCCCTCACGTAGAGGGGGAGAAGGCCGAAGAGGCGCAGGGTCGTGCGTGCGTTGTAGACCACTGCCCCCAGTTTGGCAAAGGGCGAACCCTCGGGGTGGGCGGTGGCACCGGAAAGGGCGCCGTCAACAGAGGCATGTTTCGTGGCGAGGGACAGGGCTTGGGACTTGAAGTTGTGGGCTTTGGCGTCAAAGTAGGCCAAGAGATAGAGGAAGTAGTTGAAGGTGGTGAGGACAGAGCCCAGGTCCTTGGTTGGTCTGAACAATCTGGAGGTACCAGTGGTATGAGCAAAAAAGCACCGTCTGGACCCGTCTTTGTTTGGCAAGAACTCACTTCTCCAACCTGAAAAGCAAACGGTCTGGTTTGCTCACTGGCACTGCGGCCTTGGGACCCAACGCCATTGTGGACTTGTTTCGCTGTACGGCGACAGGGTAGATGATCTCAGACGTGGTGGACGTCTCAAGACTGGTTGCGTTGATCTCTTCGTACATGGTGTGTGTGTTCAGGCTCGACATGATGGCTGCTCAATATCCGATGAAGATAGTAATGTTAATTGTCCTGTGAACATATTGATATGCTCGTGCTTCTCATATACATTAGCTGTGGGTTAGCTTGGATGTGGCAGTCAAACCGGAAAGAAGCGTATGCAGGGGCGGCTGAAAGACGTTGGGCTGGCTGAGACCTGCTCCATGTCGGCAGGGCATGACGTGCAGGATCAGCTCAAACGCGAACGGGGGTCTGGACCCAATATGGCCGTCCAATATTGAGGATCCAATGAAACCCTCCCACATCCCGCTCGGGAAGGCTTGCATCCCCCAAAGTGCCTACCCGTGACCACTGCATGTCACCGAACTAGTACCTGCGTCGGTGACCATGCGGGTTAACCGCCCGTAAAATATAGGGACTGATCTCACTAGTGTCGAGTCCAGACAACATCTCTTTGATTCAGACAAACCTCTCACTCCCACCAAGGTCGTATCAGACTACGAGCAATTGCAAATAGTTCCGAGATCAGCTCAGAAAATTACACTCAGCAGCGACTTGTCCTCCTAAAACAGACATGATGGTTTCACCGGGTCCAATTCGGCACACACCTTTCGGATTCAATGAAACCTCATCCTCGTCGGTCGTGCGGAGGCCGAAAGTGATGAAGATACCTTCAACCATCAGCTCTGGAAGAGCACACGACATCTTCCTCAAACTGGTCAAGTCGACTTCGCTAGTGTCGAGTCCAGAATCCAATAGGCCTGTTGCAGGGGCAACGGAGCCTCTGTCACTTCCGCCGATCACAAAGGCACGACCAGAGGAGCAGTCCTCCGTCTCATATCACGGCCAACATCACGCCCTAGTAGCTGTAGGTGGCACTCGATATGGATAGGTATGTGCTGCACGAAGTTCCGTCCTGCCGATCGATTGTTGGTCTTTTTCAGCTCCCATATGGACGCCCGGACTATGGCCCGAACGGCGCTTCCGTGGCTGCCTGAAGCACAGAGGCACCTGCAACTATTTTCGCTCCGAGAGATGGGCAATCAAATGATCAAGAGACAGCTATTCCGAAAATGTGCTTTACCAAGTTGGCTTGCTTCAATGTGATTATGAATCATAAGATTCCTACTTTCCAACCCTCACCTGCTCTAGTCTCACATCCCACAAACTCTTGACGCCGTTGAACTTGATTTACGAGATCAACAGGACACCTTTCTTTACTTCTCTTCTACATTTTGGCCCACCAAACTCAACACCATGCCTAGCTCCATACCCTACGACCCGAGTCTGGTGTTGATGAGCGTGGTGAGCGAGGAGGCACTGGCGAATGTCGAAGCCATCTCAAAGTTGCAAGCCCCTGTCGACGCCGCTCACGATGCTCTCAACTCTCTCATCTCGTCCAAGAGAGGTCTGACGATGACCAAGACCGAACTCAGAAACCTTGGCATCAAGACTGATGCTCTGGACGAGGAGCTGAAGAAGCTGAACGACGCCGTGGAGAAGGCCGCGGTCACGTATGCAGCTGCCAGAATGGCGGCCGAGCCTCAGATCCAGCAACTGCGTCAGAAGATACATTCGGTTCACAAGCAGATCGAAAGCCCTGTCGACTACCTGCGCAGCGAGATCAAGACAATGCCACTTGCCGCCGACACCATGAACATGGATGTTCAGTATTTCTCCTTCGACTCAAACTCGCAGAACTCGTCTGCCTACAGCGCCCAGATCGCCTCGTACGTGTCGGGCGCCGTCAGCGGCGTCTTTGGCACCGACCAGTCCATGAAGATCGGCACCGCAGCTTCGAGTCAGGTCAGCCGGCAAGTGAAATCGCACAGCATCGAGGGTACCCTCGTGCTGTCTGTGAGCTGCACGCACAAGAACGCATCGATCGTGGCCCCTTTCGTGATGCACGTCGACAAGGCCATCAAGGTGTGGAACCATCTCTACCCCGGCAAGAAGCTGGATCCTACGAGCGGCAGCAGCATGATGAAGTGTGCCATGAACGAGAGCCAAGAAGACAAGGAGAAATTCTCCATCATCTCCGGCACCACCTTTGGATCGAGCTTCATCGGCATGGTCCACATTCTCAACTCCACGCAGACCTCTGCCTCTGAGACCATGGAGGCCGCGGCCATGTCCATGCAGCGCACCATGGACACGGGTGCCTGGTTTGCCAGAGCTGAGGGTAAAGTAGGCGTCAACGCCAAGTTTGCCAGCGACGTCAAGAACCTCCTCAGTCAGCAGAACGTCCAGTCTCACGTGACAGTCCTGACGATGGGCGTGATTCCCTCGATGGTTGCCAACTTGGTCTCAAAGACGGCCGAGAAGTTTGCCGATTTTGACCCAAGCGCCAACATGGCAGCCGTCGCCGCCATCCAGAACGCCACCTCATCAGAGCAGTCCACGGTGCAATCCATGGCCGAGGCTTCGCGAACGAGTGGACAGGCCTCCGAGATGCAAGGCAAGGCTATTGAGTCCTCGCTGAGCGCGTTGGCGGTCATCGATGGGGAGAAGAACAAAGTCCTGGACGTCAACTCGATGATGACGGCGCTGGAGGACTATCTGAAGAAAGCCTCCGAGGGAGACTCCGGCGTTCCCATCAACTACTACCTGAAGGATATTGATCAGAAGATGCTGGCGCAGATGTGGGCTGCCAAGTACTACCCTGGGAAGTTCATGTCTATTAAGTACGACGACACCGAAGCTGAAGGTGGCCAGGAAAAGGCGAAGCTGTGAGCTTTGGGCAACTGTTTTCTTTTTTTCTGCTTGTACTGATTTTTCAGACGCTTCCGATTATGTTCTGTAGTAATTCATTATCTAGTTGACAACTGTGATCAATACGGATTCAGAATGGGCTCGTTGTTCTATGTGATCTATGGGCCTGGAGGGAGCCTGAAGTCCCCTCCCGTTTGGATTTCTCTGCATGTGACATTGATCGGCTTTACCGCTCTGCCCGCATGCCACAATCTCAGAGACCGACGATTAGGGCGGTAACAGCCTCTACCTTTCACTCTGAAGGGGTCAGTTGAGCGTGGAAATCATCACTGTGTAATTAGACTCAGATGGCTGGCTGGTTGAGGCTTTCAAGGAGAACTAGTGTGAGAAATCACATAACACCTCAGATCAGACCCGCCAAGTTCTGTCGAACTGTGACTGCATGTCGACTTTAGTTTAATTTCAGACCAGGTGGTGTCGGAGATAGGAGAACCCCGATTGCTAAGATGAACTGATCACATCACATCCATCTTCGGTGCTCAAAGAGCCTCGTCAATCTCCGTGATGAAATGTCGAAGTTTCCACTTTTACCGCGCTTCAAGTCTTCAGCCGATTACGTCGTACGGAATATAGGAGTCTAGACTATCACGTCAAAATTCGCGACCGATCCTCCGCGTGTTTCGCGAGTAACCTTTCAGCCAGCTGAAATCCAATAGAAACCCCGGTAGCCGCTCAATTGAGGTTCCTGCATACATATCACCAGCTGAAAAGTCAGAGCGATGAAACCTACCGAATTTGGATGTCTGCGCCATTTCAATACTTGGAATGATGAATGGTCTGTGAGAATGACTAAAGATGACTATTGAAGTTCTTTCACATCCATTCAGACATCACAAGTTTGGAAAGGTTCGGTTTTAACCGCCGGAGCAACATTGAACATGACGGAATCCCCACACACACTTCGTGCCCACAATGGAGCTGAGCTAGAACTCATTGCGAGGTCATCGGACGTTATCGCTCTCGGTCAAGCAAGGGATGTGCAATGTATTCCTGGGCGGAAATGAACTTCTTTTTTGGTCCAGGTGATTTCTTCTATGCTTTATCGGGAATGGTTGACGATCAAGCTGCCGTTTGGCGGAGTCGTTCACACTGGATCAAGCATTCGGCTCCATCTCATTCCACGAGAATAAGAACCTGAGCCTGAGTGCTGCCCTCTACATGCCTAAAGATATCTGCAATCATCCAAGGTCGAAAGATCCAAGTTCGTCATCATCACACACACATTCAACCTTTTATTGAAAGTCTGTCTCAAAGCAGCCCAGCTTCACCATGTCTTCCATGCAGGCAGCCTACTTCAGCCCGGACAAGCCAGAACCCATCAAAAAGATCATTATGGGTTGGGTGAAAGAGAACAGTCAGAAAGTCTCACGCATTCATCAATTCGGATATGGTTGGGAAGCATGGTTGCAAGCTGATTTGGGATACCGTCTAGCTGTGCAACTAAACGGTACGATGAAATTGATTTCATGTCTTATGACTCTGAGATCGAACTTGAGCTGATCTGCGAGGATATAACACAGGCGCCGGGCTGAGACGCGAGACGTTCGTCTACAATGACCTGAGGCGTGTGGATTTGAACATCTATGGTAACGCTGGTCCAACTCAGCCCTGGCACCTTTTCGAGTTCAAGTGCAAGACTCCCACTCAGAACACCACTGAATTTATCAGAGGTCTGCTAGACGATTGGGACAAACTAGAGGATGTTGTGATTGGCAAAGATCATGCGAGGCTCTGGGCTGTCGGGTTCTGGGTGGATGATGATATGGGCAAACCCAACGACAATCGCCTTGCAAACTGGAACTTTGAGAAGGGTAATGGTGTCAATTTCATGTGGAGGAGCTGGTACAGCCCAAAACCCACTGCTAGATTATCTTAGGTAGCCTTGGGTCCCCAGTGAAAGTGATACCTAGCCTCGTATCTTTCGACCAGATCATCAGAAACACTCAATTGACATCTGATATCCTCTCACGCGTGTCTGGTGTAAAGCCAAATTGAAAATCTCGTACGTTTCCTCCCGCATGCAGTTACTAGAAATACATCCACGGTTTCCCCAGTGATCCTGATAGGCGGGCGGCGGTTCTCAGCCGAGCCCTGATGCATATCTTCATACCTACACTGCATTCGCAATGCCCGAAGTGGACGTGTCAAATTCACTGTTTTGTACGACGAAACTAATCGTGAGGGATATAAGGCCCATGATCACCTCAAAGCATCTAGGTAGTCAACAGGAAGCAGACCATGTCTCCGAGCGCAGTGTCTTGGTGGGGTGGCGCCAGAAGACACACCCCGATATTTATCTTGCGAAAGCACTTTGGACTTACTTCGTTGATTTTGGGTGGCGGTATACAACCAACAAGCTGCAGTCATGCAAGACATCATCATCATCCACATCGTCTCAAAGGTGCGTCATCTCCAGTGCGTAACTTTCAACCCCACAATGGCCGATCACACGCCTCATCTCCAACGGCTTACAGGCCCCCAGGCAGCACAAACTGGGCAAGCCGAGCATGATCTCGATGGTTACTCCTTGGCCAGCCTCTTGAAGCGTACCGTCTACCCGGTCATCCCCAATGACGAAAGCAACCCGTTGGGCGACAAGCGAGGCTATCAGGCATCCATCCCGATAACAGAGAACAATCTACCCCATCGCGATAACCATCTACGCCATCTCCTGCCAGGCTTATTCATGTTGCGAGATCAAAATGACAACAATTCGCATCCTGAAAATTCCCTTCATCGTATAGCTTTCTTTCTATTCATAGCGTAAACCTCAAGGTATAACAACACAAGTTGCACAGTTACCCTACCTATCTCACGTAGATGATGCCTTGCGGCCGATGAACTTTCTCACCCTCAAGTCATCACGAATAGGTACATCATGATCTCTCAAAGATACCGGCTCCCGGCCCGCCAGATCTACAGAGGAATACTGAGACCCACAACGAGCCCAGAAGTGGGATGTGGTTGTCTCGCCGGAGCTTTCGGGCCCTGGCTCCGTCACAAGCGGGCGCGCGGTTGGTCAGCCTCCGCTTTGCATCACCACCACGGGACAGATCCAAGCTTGAGAGGGGACGACAAAAGATGATGATATCAGATTAGAAGTGATGGTCTCCGTTTCCTTGCGTTATCGGATGATCGGTGATATCTTGGTCCTGTGGCAGACCTGTGATGGAGGAAAAGGTGGGATGTACGTTGTGTTCAAGTTGGAGGGTCTGGAATGGGGATGATATGTTGGAATGCGAGACTTTAGGTATGCAATCTTCATCGATTACCAGAGAGTGACCAGCGAAACTAGCTCGAAGTCGCTGCTACACAGTCGAAAGTGAAGTTAGGTGGGCAAAAACACCATCATTCTGGAGCTGAGACCAAAGCCCGGGATAAGCACAGCTGCTCACTTGTCATCTTGTTCTTTTTTTCTGTGGTCCTTTCTTTATGGCGTCTTACTTTCATCGTTCCCCTTCCCAAGTGTGTCATCGCCTTTCGTCTACTTCCTTTCGATCAGCTCCTGCTTGTGCACCACACGGGCAGGCACCGCCCGTGGATTTCAGACCCAAATACCCCCCCCCCCCAAACCCCCCGCCTCGACCTCTACCCACCCCTCACCTACTATCCCCCAGCACAGCCTCAAACTTGCAATCAAGCCTGATTCACACGCAGATATTGCATCATCTATTTCACTTCTACCATCCCTTTCCTCCCCTTTTAGCTTCTCAAACTAGTGCCCTGCCAAGAGCGACCCAGACTTCCTTCCCATTTGACAAGTTTGACAAGTCTCGACGCTGGTTCAGCGGTTGAAACTTTTGTAGGCTATTTAACGGGGCCCCGTTGCGCTAGTTTTATTTAGTTCGTGGGGGAAAAAGAAAACTGGAGAGCGAGCGTTAAAATAACCGCGGGTGAACATGAAGTGTATGGTTCGCCTCCGCTCGCTCGCTTATCCTTGACACGGGCGCCAACCAGAGGAAAAGTCAATATTGACTTCGGAACCTGGGGGCCCCTTCACACTCTGGGAGCAATGTCAGGCCGGCGGGGTATCGGGATCACAGTACCTATTGGTATGAAAACCACAAGTGTCGTTTGCCTCTCATGAATGGTGGGAAGAAAAGAGCGTATACGAGCAAGTTGGCTGTAATGCCACGATCTCGATGTTCAGGTGGCAGCGGTAATTATCAAGGCGTCATTGGCCGTCATAGACGCTATCGGTTATCTTGTCTTTTGCCTTGGAAAGGGGTATTTACAAGGCAGGGGTGTCCATCCAAGGTTGATATATGATAGGCAGAGAGTCCTGCCGCTTGGTCTTTCGGGGCCTATTACTGAGACCCGTAACACGCCCGAGGCCAAACCAAGGTCGATCGTCAATATTTGGGCTGGAATATAGCATAGAGTGCTGAGACTGTCGACGAGGTTAACTTCTTGTTGCAGTATCAACGGTATTCGGTCTTAGGCCGGGTCGGACGGCATTGATGCCCACTGGGCGCCTGCTCAGGCTTCACGAGATATCCCCGACATGGCTTCGTGCTTTCCCTTTGGCATTTTCCCAGGGAGATTTGTAGACCAATCTCGCGATGAAGATCTCCAGAGAGCCGCCGGGCTTGGTTTGGTTCCCCTCATAGGCACCACGACGAAGAAACGGGGACGGGCAGACTCGGGACATGGACGACAGGTGAACGGTTGGCTCGTAACGCTTGAGAATATGCCGGCTATGTAGAGCCAGAGGGATCGCCATCAATATCTATTTTACCCCGGGTATCCCGACAAGTGCGAAATGTTCCGACGCCTGTCCCCTCGCAGAAGGCAACAACGGCAGTACCAGACCAATGGAAATCATTGATGAGTGGAAGGAAGATTTGTGGAGCCTTTTTTCCCCGTGTCGAGGTGCGTATCGTCGTGAAGATGAGATCTGCCGCTGTCTAAGATCAGTGCCGGGGGTTCTAGAACCACGATCGACATGATGTGACTGGCTGAGAGCTCATGATGCACATGGCACAAGGGGAAGGAGATCGGAACGACTTGATGAGGAGGTGGAGGGCTGAGACAAGATATTGGGTTGCAGGGATGGGTCGTCTTATAGGGTCTGGGGTAAAGAAGCGGTAGATGATTGTCACATGTCGTTTCTTGATCTGCGATTGTATCGATGTATGTTGAATACAACCTGGAGGGGGCGCTGAATGAATATGAGATGCTTGAATATGACAAGACGATGCTAGATTGGATGGATGTTCACTGCTGAGTGAGACCTGTCAGGCTGTCAGCTTGGGATAATATAGGCTAAAAAGGGTGGGTCGTATGCAGATGCTGTGCAAGTTTACTGTCTCGGCATTCACTCCAACATCAGCATCTGGTGGCTCTGGATGACTTCGAGCCCATTTGTTGACAAGGTCGGAAATTGGGTAGACGGGTTATAATGAGGTAGGTGAATCCTGTTTCGGGGCGAATATGGATGTTGGGGGATTCTCAATGAAATGGCGTGGCTTGGGCCAAGATGTTGATTGAGAGCCCGATAGATGTCGTGAGGGTGAGGCTATCAGCAGCTTGCTTGGTCTCGGGAGGTGTGCGTGTGATTCTTTCGGGAAGGTGGGAGATCGACAGCTTGGAAGCCTCGAATGGAGGTTGCCCAGCATTTCTGCGAAGCATTAAACTCTTGATGTGATAGCAGGACGGGAGCATAACCGTCATACTGGTCTTGATTGTTCGTCTGGTGTGTCAAGTGAGCGAGATGAGGCAAGAAGAGGGTTAGGGTGTCTCACACAGCCAAAATTCCCACCCCACGCTGGAAAAACGGGAAGCTCGCCAAAAAGCACCCCACAAACTTGCAGAAGCGGTGTGTGCAACGGCAATGCGCTTTCTCAGAAGGTCTCAAGATCGGCGGCTAGTGCTCCGCGGCAAGCGCGTTTCTTTCTCGAATGGGTGTGGTCGATGGTTGGCAGTCGGTAGCGAGTGGTTGGCGAGTAGAGCAAAGCCGGAGGTGTACCTTCCGAAACAGGAAGTGGCAGGCATGGATTGACCAATCAGGGAGCAGATATTAAAGTCCGAACCCCGGTTTTTTCGTTTTGGATTTGGGAACACAACACCGTCTATTCTCAACCACGTTTTTTGGTTTTGGGTGTTCGTAAAAATGGTAGAACAGTTCATGCATGAGGAGGAGTTTGCTCAAGTTGATGGAACATATCTTTGTCAGTGTGGCCCGGTACGGTTGCAATTCTGTTGGAAGCACAGTTAACATGAAGAGCCATAAATCTCTTGATCTTGATGATGGCTGCTTCACTCAGATGTCAATAGGCGTAAACGTGCTGTCTTTATGGCCTCTACCTCCGATTCTCCCCGAGTCTGCGAAAAGAGATAGTTGTTCTCCGGACCCTTTGTACCTCATAGAATAACTAGACAGACAGTTTCATGAGTTCTCCTAACACCTGATAAAGAAATTTCGCATACCGGTGTCATAAGCGACCAGGAGATCTCCCTCCATACCAGACTCTGACGAAAGCTGCCAAAACGTGTCCCTGGATCTACGTTAAACTGTAACTAGTCATAATATGTGATGTAACTTGAGCTTGCGGTGAACCATCAGGCTGGACAGCCCCGAGGTTTTGGGTTCTGACCGAATTCATGTGACAACGGGCCCATCGAGCATTGCTATCTCGCTGATGGCTATTTCTTTTGATTGGCCAAGAGTTTCAGACGGTAAACACCAGCCATTATTCCGAGGGGCTGGAAGTTCTCTACATGAAAATCAGCCGCGTCGTCCCTGAATGATGCAATCACAGCCACAGCTTGTTATATCTGGGTGCCAACAGAGGTCGGACTCGCGTGCGGTGCACATATATGGGGAAAGCAGCTCGCGTACCGCATCACGCAGTAGGTTCATCCGAGTACTGCCCGTCATATGCAGGCTGACATAAACCCTAACCAAAATACCCTTTGGTTGACACCCTCAACAGCTTCGGGTATCAAAGTTGTGTTACACTCTGTGAGCACCTGACAGGCAATGGATCGACAGCTGGAAGAGAAGGTGCAACACCATGTCCGGGTTTCCCTTTTGTTGTTGCCCTGAGCTGAGGATTCCGCCGCCTTGGCTTTAAGAGGAGCTGAGGGAGGGGAACTCGGTCGTCAGTTTTGGGTTACGCCGACTATTTCTGTCAACCCATGATCCGCAGCTAGCAGCGCGGTCTTGGTGCGGTCTAGATCTGGTGGGGGTAGAGGGTGTCATTGAGGAAGCACGGGCCACATCAAGGTGGCATTGAACGGTTCAACGGTGCAGATACCGCCGTTAATACCCCCGCGGGCAAGCCGAAAATCTTGCAAGTTGCCAGGTTGCCTCCATCAGGTATGTACCTTTCTCTGTCTTTTCTGCCCGCCTTCATGCTTTCCCCGCCATTTCCCTGGCTCCTTCCGCCCTACCTGTACCTGCACAGCTCACACAACCCTGATGACGGAGGTGGAAGGAGAGACTGATCACACGTGCAATTGAACCCCGACCTGCGGCAGAGGCGGAATTCTAACCACCGTCAACATACGAGGCATTTATGAACCATCGTCCCAACAGTCGATTAAATGGACCGATTTAAATGAAGGACGGTTTCATGGGACCTGGCGAGCTAAGACGTGTTAAGGCGAGGCCCCGCGCCCCATACTATCTAGCAAGGTATCCAGGGTGTTCCGGCGCGGCGGCGAGACTGACCAGGTCCCGCCAGATCAGATCTCTCCTCTTTCTGTTGCCGGAGTGGCGGAGGAGAGGGAGTGGCTGCCGAAATGCACTCCTCAAAATCTTGCATGAAACCGAAACGAGGCAGAAAAGAAAAAAAGAAGCCGCAAAAACCTGGGGTCCCCAGACTTTCGTCTCTCTTTGCCGCACGCCCGTCTTCCCGCGCCAATATCCTGGGGCCCCTCACCAGCACGGCAGCACCAGACGTCAAGGCGCGCCTATTTTCCTGTCCTGTCCTGATGCGTCTCCGAAAGTCGCAGTCGGGATCACCCGCGACCATCCATGGTTCTCCTTTTGGGGCGAGTGCTTCCTCTTCTGTGCGCCCTCTTCTGGTTCTGGACTACCATTTTTGCTTCCTTTTTTCGCTGCCCTTTCCCATTCGCTTCCTAGTGCCTTTTCGAGCATACATGTGCACCCATACACACACCCAACCCCTCAACCCACGTCTGGAAGAACCAGTGTTGACTTGCGCTCCACCAGTCACGGGCTCACTTCGGGGCAGTTGCGGTCTCTTGCGGTGCTGCTACGGCGACTCCAAGACTGATCATCAGGGCAGGATCTCGATCCGTACTCCTCACCCTCACCCCCCTTCGCCCGCTCGTTCGATTTGGGTACAATCAGGCTCTGGCTGCGTACCGCTGAAAAATCTATTCCCCGGGGTCCCACGTGTCATGGGGTGGACGTGCAGAGTCCGCCGTCGAATCCGGGGGGTAATATGGATAATCATGGCATTTTTATGGGGATTTGGCCGAAACGCGGACTGCGGAGGGACTACTGTCTGCCTACCGTAGACGTCATGTACCTCGGCCAAGCTGCACTGGCGGCACGATAAAATAATCTCGCTTCGAATATTGTTCAGACATCCTAATTGGGACGCTGGTGTCTGCAAACACGCCTGCGGTGATACGAGCAAGCGCGGGGCGGCGGCAATTGCCCTGGGGGGCCCAAGACCAAGATACTGCCACCAGTGCAATGAAGTCATTCACAGCCATCCCAGCACCACTGGCCGGCACATGTCGAACCATACCCAACTGCCACATCCGGCATACTCAATATGGGTGAGAGGCTATTCACTCTCCCCCCCCCCTGTTGCTCTCATGGAGCCCAGGTGCCCTCCAAACCTTTAAACCTACATATCTCGCTGGTCGTGACTCGTCCTGTGACCTGTCCCCCCAAATTCACCTTCTTTCTTTCCAGGCCCAGTGGACCAAACGGATCTGACGACTTGACTTCCGCCCTGACCAAGGCAGACTCTGCTGTCACGACTTTCGGGTTGCTGGGACCGAAGTTGCGACTCTGCATCTTGGGAGCCGCTGTTACGGTAGGATTGGCACGGCGAGAGCCTCCAGGTCCTGCCCCCAGACCCTTCGTTCTTACTCCACCAGAAACGGGTCCTGTCAAGAACCGCAGACACGGTCCACCACGGCCCGACCATCCGCTCTCCTGTTCGCTTCCTTCCTTGGTTCGACAACAACACCATAGAACCCACTCCTCCCACCATCGTCATTCCCTTCCTGCCCAAAAGTGGTTATAAGTCGGCTTGTCCCTGACTACACCCGGTCCCGAACCATCACCACCACCAGTTTCCCTTGGTCGCTCGGTCTGTCTGCGGTTATTCTCTTGGCGGAAGGACTACCCTAGACAGACACACATACCCACAGACATCATCATGTCGTCGAGGAACAACCACGTCGGGGACACGACCGCCCAGTCCTACGATGACGCCGAGAAGGGTATCTACGAAGCCTCCCAACAGTCTTTACCGGTCCTCCCTACCCCACCATCACCAGTTTACTCTGTTGATGAGAAAGCCATAATCCAGCAGGTCGAGACAGTTCAGCCAACACCGGTAACATCTCCCATTCATGAGGGTATCACACCATCCTCCTCCACACCAGTCCTCACTCTTGCCTCGCGCAACTCACCGCCCTCTCCCGCCAGCGATGATCTCAAGAAGCCGCATGGCAAGCCACCAGCGAAGCCAAAGAGAAAAGTCAGCCGATGGATTCTGTTTCAACTGTGGTACAACACCTACCGCAAGTTCTTCACCATTGTGGTGACTCTTAACCTGATCGGTATCTTGATGGCTGCTATCGGGAAGTTCGAATACGCCACAAACCACCTGGGCGCGTTGGTGTTGGGTAACCTGCTGATGGCCATCCTGATGAGAAATGAACTGTTCCTCCGGTTCCTGTACATCATCTCTATTTACGGGCTCAAGAGTGTAAGTCATCAACCCTGTTGACGATCATGCCAAGAGACCAAAATCACTGACTAGTACATCGAACAGTGGGCCCCCATTTGGCTCAAGCTCGCTGTAACTTCGATCTTGCAGCACGTTGGTGGCATTCACTCCGGATGTGCCCTGTCTGGAGCATGGTACGTCTCTCTCCTGCTCAGTCGATGGTGATAACATGCTAATTTTGTACCACAGCTGGCTTCTCTACAAGATCGTCGACATCCTCATTCACCATGCCAAGCAACACCCTTCCGTGATCGCCACTGGTATCATCACCAATGTGCTGGTTGTGATCAGTATCTTGAGCGCGTTTCCTTGGGTCAGGAACAACCACCACAACGTGTTCGAGGGACATCATAGGTTGATTGGTTGGATGGGTTTGGCAACTACCTGGATCTTCGTCGTCCTCGGCAATGCCTACGACTTGAAGCTTGGAGAGTGGAGGCTGGATGCGCACTCTTTGATCTCCACACAGGAGCTTTGGTTTGCGGTCTTCATGACAGTCTTGTATGCTTACCACCTCCCCCTTTATCTTTGTGTGCCGGTCGAGCTAACACATGGCTACAGTGTTCTCATCCCATGGGTCACCCTTCGCGAAGTTCCGGTCGAGGTCGAGATTCCATCACCAAAGGTGGCCATTCTCAAGTTCCAGCGCGGTATGCAGCAGGGTCTGTTGGCTAGAATCAGCAGGACGTCCATCATGGAGTACCATGCTTTTGGCATCATTAGTGAGGGGAGAAAGAGCGGGTGTCATTATCTCATCTGCGGCGTTCAGGGCGACTTCACCAAGTCCCTTGTTGACAACCCGCCCAAGACAGTGTGGACCCGTGAACTCAAGTTTGGTATGTTCCCCTTTGCTCTCTTTACATTACGTTGGCGAAGACTAACAAGGAACAGCTGGTGTTGGACACGCCTCGGCCATGTTCAAGCGCGGCATCAGAGTTTGCACCGGTACTGGCATTGGCGCCGCTCTCTCAACATGCATCCAGAGCCCCAACTGGTTCCTCATCTGGATTGGCTCGGATCAGGAGAAGACCTTCGGCCCAACAATCTCACGGTTGATCCACGACAACATCGAGCCGGAGAGGATGATCTTGTGGGACACCAAGAAGAGGGGAGGCAGGCCAGACAGCGTGCAGCTGCTGAAGGATGTGTGGCACAGCTTTGGGGCTGAGGTTATCTTCATCACCTCGAACAAGGCGGGTAACGATGAGATGATGCAAGGGTGCTTGGAGGGTAAGTTTTTACCTCTTCCAAGGAGGTCACAAGAGAAGCAAAGAAGCTAACATGACAACAGCCGGACTCCACGCCTTCGGAACGCTTTGGGATTTCTAAACGACAAAGGAGAATAAAAGAACGGTTTAATTTGGGAGACACAACAAGAAAGGTTGCATGCATTGCTATTGGGGAGTTTTTATGACATTTTTTCATGTGTGGTGATGGCAGGCTGGCAGCCGCCTGTGGGACGGGGGACTGATGAGCGAGCATACCTACCTATCTATCCATGTTTGCATGTTTGTGTTGGATGATACTTTTCTTTTTTCGTTTCAAGTGGGCATATATTACGTCGAAATCTTTGTACAGAACAAAGTTTATTTTTTTTCTACTTTGGTTTGTTTCCTCCACGTTGTGGAGTTAGAGGCTTGTGTGGAGAAAATTGGTATCATGTTATGGACAGTCGCCCGCGTGGCTGGCATGGTGGAGGATGATGATAAGGGGGATTTTGGCTTTGTACATGTGCTTGTAACATCACAATCAAATCATATGAACACATGCTGCCCAAATTTATTTAGGTGATCTTGTTTTGCTGATGGGGGCGGACAAAATGAAGCGAATGCTGTTTGACTTTGTAAAAGATATTGCATGGCATTGTGTGCAAGCTCTGGCTAGACCTGCTGATACAGATCTATCTCGGTTTCATAACCTTTGTACCACTGGCCTATATAGCTTGAGGAATACGAGACCGGCGTAGTAAGCTTTGATGGTTGTAACGAGGTGGCTTTTTTCCTCACGTGTGGTTATGGGACTCGACTCCTACTTAATGTACGTGTTTCTCTTTTTCTCGTCACCATCTTTCAATACAGACTTTATACCTACACGGATTCTTCCAAATCGGCCACGTTCCGTGTAAATGAAGGGCTAGATCTACTGACAGGCTACATGCTGTGCTCGGCTAAGGAAAAGAAACAAAGCCTTTTTTACCTATTGTCATATTGGCTGGTGTGCTGGCATGAAGACACACCAACTGGGGAATTGTTGAACTTTCCCTTCAAGCCTTTTCGGACCATCCACCGATGTATTAGGTCCAGACTTTTTCGAGGATAGGTATTTGCATTATTTATCGATGCCCCTGGTTGACCAGTCGTGCTTATCTCTGCTCTCTTGTGGGAGTGAGTGGTGGCTTCTTGATTAGGGTAATGATCAAGTAGGGAATCTCAAAACGCCTTTTGGTGATCATGTGCTCTCGAAGCATGACGACGAGTCAAAGGTATTAGTACCCATAGAACAGGGCAGGATGTTGTTGTTATTGTGGGCAGTTAGGGGATATCAGCGGTACGAACGTAGAAGCTAAACATATACTTTACTACATCTAATCTTCAGGAACTCGGCTTACTTTCCATGGTGCTTCAAAAGGAAAAGGATTTCATGCATGCGTTGCTGGATTGAGAAAAGGTGCCTCTAGGATTTTGGGGCGAGTCATGTCTGAATTTGCATGTATGATTGCAAGAGATTCAAGAGAGACAATTATCAAACCTACATTTTCGGCAACTTGTACAGCCAGCATCGTGGAAACTTGCAAGCACCTTTGGTGCTGACAATCATAGGCGTCTAGGTATTCTTGTGTTCTAGGCTGATTAATGTCTGGCAGAAAGAAACAGCCAACATCGGTGTTTCAAGACTGCTTATTCACACCATGTAACGATAAAGCACACACGATCCAGCGTTGGGCGTGTCTTAGCGCCAAGCTATACATCATGCACAACCAAAGAATCATCGACACTAAAGAAGGAGGGGCGGCTCTTGGTATGACACGGAGATAGGCTGCAAGAAATCCCGAAGCATGTGCTCCAACCCCAGTCAAGGGGTGTTATTTGAAGGGCGCATTTCTTAGTAAGCCCCAGTGCCATTCGTATCAATAATCAAGCAAAGATTTGGGGTAACAAAAAGGGGGTCATGTAAGACTTCAAAAACATCAACATCTCTCGACCCCTCACATCAAACTCCACCAAACCAGGTCCTAAACTCCAACTTCACTAACACACCGCAGCAGAATGTCGGCCAAGTACACCGGAAAGTGCCTCTGCGAAGAGGGAGGCATCCGCTTCACCATCTCTGCTGAGCCTATTGATCCGGTATGCACATGTTATTGCGGCCATTGCAGCAAAGGCGCTGGCGGGCTGGGCCAGGTGGTAAGTTCAAAATCTTGAAACACATTTTGAGCGATGGCTAACACCAAAACAGATGGTGGCCTTCCCAGAAGAGAGCATCGACATTGAGTCGGGCAAAGAGCTCATCACCACCTTCACCTTCAAGAATACCGACAGCGGCAAGCCCAAAGACAAGATGTTTTGCAAGTCTTGCGGGGTTACGCTTTGGACTGCCCCTGAGCATTGGAAGCAGCTCAAGCAGCTATTGGTTCGGACACCGGTGTTGGATGGGGGGTATGTTTATTCTATTGGAAAGCAAGCACGTGGAAGTTGCTGACTCGAGGCAGAATTGACTGGAAGCCTACTGTTGAGCTTTCGACGAGCAAGCGGGCGAAGTGGACTTCTTCTGTTGCCGGGGCAGCGCAGCAGTGAGGGGTAATGGACGATGACGGTAGCGGGAACAGGGCATCGGACTTGGTGTTGAATGCGAGGCGGGATGGGATTTCAAGATTGGAGACCACGTCTGCTCCTATTGTTCCTGGGGTAAAATGTTGTGAATCCGTTACAGCGTTAGCAACTCTTGTTGAATGATAGCGATAATTGGGCGATAAGAAAGAGCAACAAGCATCAGCATGGTTCAATATCGGCATCGACAATGTGTCTGAGCCCCGTCTTGAAACGTTTGAAAATAACCAGATATCGTCATAGCAAAAGTCCATACTCGTGTTGCAAAAGAAGAAAGGCAGTGGCTTACCTGTCGATAGAAGTATGTCTTGGGAGTGATGGCCAGAATCGATGATTGAGCAAGACAGGAAGAATGTGGGGGGCCCCTGCCAGGATCAACTGAAGAGAGAAGGGAGGTGGGGGCACTGGCCAATGAGATCACCACCCCCGCCATCGGTGGGGGAGCATTGACCCCTGCAGCCATTGACTTGGCAGTGCATTCGAGTGTCGCTCTCTCAGGCACCCTGTTGGACTGTTTGTTCCCAACCAACACCAAGCTGATGCGCTAATCCCATCGCCTTCGACTATTTTGCTGGTGCGCAATCATTCAATCTGTCGTTCCGCCATTACTGTATTCTATCACGTGGAGTCTCGAAATCATGGCGATAAAAAACCACTTGCGGCTGTTGTTCACAGCCGGGTCGCTGCTTGCGACGACGTTTGCCAGCCCCGTCAGTCGCTTTGAAGATGACGACGATGATGACACCCCGCTGCCAGTGGTGATCTGGCATGGTGAGTACCGCAGCTCGCTCCATTGATTGACCATCTTCAGCTAACTATCCTTCGAACCAGGTCTCGGAGACGCCTACAACGCCGATGGCATGCGTCAGGTAGCCGACCTCGCCGAGTCAGTCAACCCCGGCACACTCGTCTACCCCATTCGCATCGAAGACGCCGGCAACCGCGACCGCTACGACTCCTTCGTCGGCAACGTCACCGAGCAACTAGCCAAAGTGTGCGTCGACATCGCCGCCCACCCGATCCTCTCCACCGCCCCAGCCATCGACGCCGTGGGCTTCTCCCAAGGCGGCCAGTTCCTCCGCGGCTACGTCGAGCGCTGTAACAATCCCCCCGTCCGAAGTTTGATCACCTTCGGCTCCCAGCACAACGGCATCACCCGCTTTAGAGACTGCGAGACGAACGACTGGATCTGCCGGTTCGCCATGGCCGTCCTAGGGACCAATCCCTGGTCCCCCACGGTCCAGGGCAAGCTGGTCCCCGCGCAGTATTTCCGCGATCCTGAACAATACGAGAAGTACCTCGAGCATTCCAACTTCCTTGCGGATATCAACAACGAGCGGTCGATCAAGAACGAGACGTACAAGAAGAACATTGCGAAGCTGGAGAACTTTGTCATGTACATGTTTGACGAGGACACGACGGTGGTGCCCAAGGAGACGTCGTGGTTTGAGGATGTGAATGGCACCGAGATTACACCTTTGCGTGCGAGGAAGCTGTATTCGGAGGATTGGTTGGGATTGAGGGAGCTGGATCGCAAGGGCGGGCTGAAGTTCAGGACTGCGCCTGGGGATCACATGCAGTTGTCGGATGAGTTGTTGACAGAGGCATTTGGGGATTTCTTTGGGCCTTTGAATAGGCACAAGGGGAGGTCGGATCCCCGTCCTGCTTCGCACGTTGGAGACGAAGAGTTTGACATGGGCAGTGGCGGGAGGTCAGAGGGTCGTCCTGCTTCGAGAGGCGGAGAAGTTGAGTCTGATATGGGCAACGACTTGTAAGGGATTGAACTATTTTTTAGGAAGGGCGCGTCAGGAACACGGAACTCTGGGTATGAATCATGGATGGATAAGGGTAATTATGGGGTACCTAGCTGGGAAGAGCACAGCGATGAAGGGAGTCATTTACTGTGTATAGGGGCAGGGTTTGTATTTTCCTTCGCTTTGGGAATAGGCGTCAGGAATCAGTGGTTGGGAAACAATCAGGCAAAGGTCCGAGTCTTTGGCACCTTTTGTTTTAGTTATTGAGTAGGCATGGGAGTACCCCGAATACGTATTTTATGCGCATACTGTGGTATGACGGGGTGGAAAGTGTATTTGAAATTAAGTTTGCTGTGTCTGCTGTGGGATGAACGGGTGTAACGGTCACAAACATGCTGTGGGTTGCGTCATGGAGAGACATCATGGGCCTAATTTCTGAAGATTGCGAAGGTGGGTGAGAGGCGGCATGACCATGGCCGAGTGTCACGACATGCGAGCATTCCTTACAGCATGCAGCTCTCTGGTTGTTGCAAGTGTTGGATTCCGAATATTGACCAGCTGGTTAATGACGCATGGTTATACATATACACAGTGTCTCATGCTTTGCTCCGGGATCCGAGCTGTTGGGCAACAGTAGCGTTGAGAGCAATGATGACAAGAACTTCATGGCCGATGTGGTTTTTTGAGAGGCTCCTCTTCAAGATACGAGCTTACAAGCCCAATAGGCACATTCATGAGACTCCTCAACACTTATCTTATCAACCCATCGGAATCCTTTTGGCTACCTACCTATCTATCCTCGGCACACCCCGATCGGTGATCCAACTCCAAACTGCACAACAAGAACAGGGAACATGCGGGTTCTAAAAGAGATGAGCTCACATGCCAAAGCTCGTCCCAAGCTTCAGAACTCGTGGGTTAGGTGAACGTCTTTTTGCTCCAGTGAAACTGTCTATTTCCACAACATCACCAACAAAAAATGTTCAGGCCTAGAATATTAATAAAGTTCAATAATCTAGCTGTGGGGAACATCCAGCCATGGTGGGGTTGGATCGCGAAACTTTATATGGGGGTGGGTGCCTCGGGCAGAGGAGGTGCGAAAAAACGCGCCTGGAAAATTGTTGGAGCGGAGCTCTTAAGCAACCTGAGGTGGGGGAGGAGGCTGGCTTTTTTCTGCGTTGCTGCAGTAGCGGAAACATGGGCCAACGTTGGCGAGAGCGAGAGAGAAAAGGCGGATGAGGATGGACAAGAAGAAGAAGAAGGGGAAAACAAATAACAAACCGTCCATGTAGAAAGAAAGTCATTGTCAAAGAGCCCCCACATGTTCATCTAACTGTAGGGAGATATCTACCTTATCCAATCTAAATCCATCGGATTTTAAAGCTGGGATTGAATTCTGCCACTCAAACCCCCCCTGTATGTCATCAGATTGTACTGATGCATAACCGCTGTGCAAGGGCGGTAAATACTCCATAGGGGACCTCGAACCTGCTGAAGCCACCAAATGGCCCGGGATCAGCGCTGGACAATGCTGGACCGAAGCACGCCAGTCAGCCAGACAACGCGACATGGGATGCCACGCCAAAAACGCGCCCGCCGCAGCAGGGACTCCTCATTAACAAAATCGCGTCCTGCCGCAACGAGTGAGACGACGGGACACGAAACCTGCATCTCTTAAATACCCAAAATCCCCACTTCCACAAAGCCCTCCCAGCTACACACTACCCGGGTCACTTTCCACGAGGCCATCTTTTTGTGAATGGGCTTTCTATTCTCTTCCTTTCTATTATCCCTTGGTGTCCTCGTCATTGTCAGCTACAGCAGCTCACCCATAATTGGACCGACTTACAAGGAACATCGCGATTTGGTAGGCGGGTTCTGCAGGTGGAAAAGACCGCACTTCGACGCGCCTCAATCTGGACACGCGAGGTTTCCACTTCCAGGACACGGCTAGCAAAGGTTTTTCCAACCTCACCACCACTCCCAACTTTGCAAAAGCTACTCCGTAAACCTGTCACGATCAAGACGTGAGCCAACCAAGATCAAGACAACACGAACAATGGACTCCTCTCCTTCCGCCCTCACCAAGACCCGGGAGCCCTCGCTGCCCACCCTCCAGGGCGTGAAGCGGCCTGCACCTTCCTTGCTCCCTGCATTCGAACCCCTTTCCTCATCACCAGGTCTCCCAAGGCCATCGAAGCGGCAGGCAACAGCATCAGCCTTCTTCAAGTATCCCACTCCGGCACCAACATCGAGCACCGGCATCCTCTCCTCCAGTCCCCCACGCTTCGGAAACCGGCCGGCTCCTCCAAGACCACAGTCGAGGTCAAGCGTCACAGAGCGTGCTCCACTGTGCGATGTCCGCTCTGTGGACCTCAACGAGAACGGGGAGACATTGTTGATGGGACGATCGAGCAATTCTTCACACTATCAGCTGTCGGCCAACCGGTTAATCAGCAGAGTACACGTCAAGGCGCGATATATCGCCGCCGCAGAGCCCCTCGAGCCAAACAAGATTGAGATTGTATGCAATGGATGGAACGGCCTAAAGCTTCACTGCCAGGGGCAGACATGGGAGTTGGCCAAGGGTGATTCCTTCACCTCGGAGACCGAAGGTGCTGACATCATGATCGATGTCCACGATGCGAGAGTATTGGTACAATGGCCGCGTCGTGAGAAGGAACGTGACGTGTTGGGTCAGCTCAGCGATTCATCCTGGGATGAGTCTCCTCGCCCAAGAGTTGGCAGGGTGGCAGGTGCTTCGGAGCTTCATGGTAGTCCTCTTAGAAGGTCGGTGCGCATCGGTAGTCCCGAGTCACCCACACCTGCCAATGTGTCCAGGGCAAACGCGAGCCTCAACGAGTTGTTGGCTGTTGATAACGAGCATGCCGACGCGGTGCAGATCTATGAGGATGCCAGTGCTGATGAGCAAGAATTGCCGAGACTGACCGACGCTGCCGAGGAGAGCTTCATGACACAAGCTGCTCCAAGTTTGTCCAGCGACCTAAGCGAGCCCGAATCGGAGGAGGAAAACGATGCAGACGAGGAGAATGACCCCATCATTCACTCTTTCGGTCCCTTTGGCGCCAACCTCAACAGCCGCCTTGCCTCTTTCTCGGCCAACTCTCCTCGGGGACACCGTGTGTCTCGTAACCCACTTTCCGATGTGGCCGGCAGAACACAGGAGAGAATGGAGCCCATCTCTGAGGACGAGGCCGAGGATTTGTTGAGCGGTCTTAGTGACGAACAGAAGGCCAACATCACCAACCACGTGGTCAACCAGCTTGCATTCTCTCGTCTCTCTTCGACTCCTTTGACCACCATCATGACCAATCTTCCTGCTGCCGAAAAGAAGGACTTGAAGAAGGACCAGCTCCGTGTTATTATTGAGGGCACTGCGGCGGTCGGCATCATCCGTAGACAGGGCAAGGACGCGGCCGGCAAGCCTCTGGAAAGCGAGTATTACTACATCCCTGAGAAGGATAGTGATGAACATCGCCGTCTGGCCGTGACGGACGGCCTTCGGAAGCCCAGTTTGAGAAACTGCCGCAAGCAGCACAAAGTAAGCCCCCCCAAATCGTACTGTTCAGTTTGTCAACATGACTAACATGAGGTCAGCAATACTTTTGGAAGCGCCCCAAGACTCCTTGAACTATTCACTACAACATGTCACATTATTTCACCTTTTTGATCCATGGTTTCTCTCGTATCGGCTATCGGCGGCGGTGGCGGAGTTCTTGTTGCGACGGAAAACGGAAACACCTTGTTCACATACCCCCATACCCCATTTCTTCGTCTGTCTCATATTAGGGGTCGTCACTTTGTAGCGCTGTATTTGCTCCAGGATATTCGCATAGCGCAAGGCGTTTTGTTTCCGTGTACAATTTGGTTTTTAATCGTAGGGGGGTGATGGTTGATGGCTTCGCTGACGGATTGGCGTCGTCATCTGGCTTGACGATGGGGGAAGAGGACGAGGACGATGAGGAGGTGCTAAGGGAACGAAATGAACGGAATGCTTTTAGGGTGATGTATGTATTATTTGTATGTCTGAAGAAAATGGCCTCGAATAGAAGATGCAAATGGATAAATCGTCTTAGGAACAGTTCTTGAAGTGCCTCGTGCGATGGAAGAGTAAGTAAACAAACAGAACCAATCATGAGATTTCCTGGATCGTCATCTGGACGGAAGCACCTGAAGAACCAGAGATCTGGAACAACAGCTGCAAGCAACCACAAACGAACGCCCCACATCAGCCCCACCTACCTTATTCTTGGGCTGAGCAGGGGTGTCCCGGCAGGCACAGATCTCGCTGATAAGATAAGCGGAAAATCCTGCCCTCCGACCGCCAAAAATTCTTGGAGGACCCAGAAAAAAGTTATCGCCGTCGCAAGAGACAGAAGCCGACCTGGATTGCGACGACCGACGACAACCTTCTTGCCGCTGTCCATATCATCACCTCACAATGTCGCCCTCCGCTGCTGTCACCAAGACGGCCGAGACCACGGTCCCTGTCAACCCTGACCAGACCCTCAAGGCCTGCAAGGCGCTTGTTGCCCACATCAAGAAGGCCGCCGCCGCCCCGCCCAAGGACGGAAAGCAAAACCTCCTCGCTGATGCCGAAACCACCGTCGCCGAGACTCCCGTCTGGCTCACTCTCACCACAAAGAACCACATTCACGAGAACAACCGTATGTCTTTATCCCTTGAGCACGCCCCGTCAATGGCATGAGTGGCCTCAAAGGAGGCTTTCGGTCATCGCGAGTCAAGCCGACGCTTGCACCAAGCGTCGATGATTCACTCACTCTTGGTTCTGTGCCCGACAGGCGCTAACAGTTCCCAGGTCTTCAGCCAGGAAAGATTGCTCTCCCCAACCCCCTGAACACCAGCGAAGAGGTCAGCGTCTGCCTCATCACAGCCGATCCCCAGAGATACTACAAGAACGCCGTCGCCGATGAGTTCCCCGAGGAGCTTCGCAAGAAGATTGGCAGAGTCATCGATCTCACCCACTTGAAAGCCAAGTTCAAGGCGTACGAGGCCCAACGCAAGCTGTTCAGCGAGCACGATGTTTTCCTTGCCGACGACAGAATCATCAACCGCCTCCCCAAGGCGCTCGGCAAGACGTTTTTCAAGACCACCACCAAGCGCCCCATTCCTGTGGTGCTGATGGCCCAGCGCGAGAAGGTTGACGGCAAGCGTGTTGCTGTTCCCAAGGGCTTCATGGTCAAGAAGAACAAGCGCGACCCCACCGAGAATGCCAACGCCCGTCCCACCGCCGAGATTGTCAAGGAGGTCGAGAAGGCCATCGGTGCCGCGCTGGTGCATCTTACCCCCTCTACCAACACCGCCATCAAGGTTGGATACGCTGGGTGGGAGCCTGAGAAGATCGCCGAGAACATCACCGTGGTGGTCAAGGAGCTGGTCGAGAGATTTGTGCCACAGAAGTGGAGCAACGTCCGCAGCTTTTACGTCAAGGGCCCAGAGACGGCTGCCCTTCCCGTATACCAGACGGACGAGTTGTGGTTGGACGAGAGCAAGGTTGTTCCCAACGGCCAGGAGGGGTCCAGCGCTCTCCCCGGCAAGAGGGAACAGAAGCTCATCAAGGGCGAGAAGCCCAACATTGGCAAGAAGCGCAAGTCGTTGGATGCCGAGCCTGAGCCAGCTGCCGAGGAGGCACCGGTTGCCAAGGAGGACAGGCCAAAGAAGAAGGCCAAGAAGGTGCTGCCGGAGAGCAACGACGAGAAGCTCGACAAGGAGATTGCGGAAAGGAAAGCGAGGTTGAAGAAGCAGAAGGCGTCGGCCAAGAAGGCGGTGGAGGTCTAATTCAGGGATACCAAGGGTGAAATTTGGGGGCTATGTTCATGTCACTGGTGAATCATTGCTTGGAGTTTTGGAGTCATTTGGGCATTAAAATGGCAGGCTACAGTTGAGACGGTGCGCGATGGGTACCTCGAGGCAAATAGATGGGCTTTGTGTTGATAGCTGATGATGCTTCAGTAATCTGATGTTGTTGTGCTATCTGTGTCTGGGTTATCCAGTTGATCACTGCTTATCGTCCTGCACCTGTCACCTGGTGGACTGCCTTTGCTAATCCATCTTGGCTGCTGTCTCCAACCAAGGATCGCATTTTACCCCAATATTTATCACTTCGCACTTCGGAAAAGACAGTGGTGTTGCCCCGCTCGGGACACTTGATAGCCTGACCAAGCTTTCCCAGGTGGATGGTCACGCGCTTTAGCCTAACGCCTCAGGATTCCCAAATCAACTGCCGACGGCCAAAAGTGCACTGATAATGCTCTCGTAATCTTCTCCGCATCTAGCCCAGCGACAGCCATTTGCTACTATTCACCGACGCCAATGGAACACGTGGGATGCCCGAACCATATTTCTTTGGTTTATTGCGGTCCCTCCATCCGGGACACGGCTTGGATCGAAGAGTGGTTGATAGCGGGTATGTTCGGGACCGTGGCGTGGTATTGATCCTGGGTTTGGGACGCCCGTTTTGCACGCCCAAACAGAGTCAGGATTTGTTCTCCATTCAACCATGGATCTGTCGGTTGTTTACCTGTAGGTTCTGAGGGGTTGGGAAGGAATGGGACTACCAAATCGTAACAGATTCAATGCCAGTCGTTCACCACTCACTTACTCCACACTCACTAGCTGCTCGGCCATGGGCAAAGTGCCCCATACCGTCTCCGCAATCCCCAGGTTTTCCTCGCACTCTATTTTAACGTCCGACCGAACGAGCCACTGATTGGAACCGCCCGTTCATGCATCCACCAGCTCACCCTCCTCGGACACCACTCGACCAACCAATCATCGTGCTGGAGTTGGTGAAGGTCCAAATGTCTGTCGTTGGCTGTGGCTGGCCTTCAACCGGGGCTTGGCATCAAGTGTCCATGACCGATGGGTAGATCGGCAGATGACGGCCCCCCCCCCCCCCCCTCCCCTCCTCAGCGGCGGCCGGTTGAGAGAGATTGAGTTGCCTTATAGCTGGGGGGTTCCTTTTCTGGGACTACTATCACATATATGTCTGCTGGAAAACCGCTTCCTCGGTTCCCACAAGTCGGGCTCTCGTATGCGTTTTCTACGCCTTCAAGACATATAACCCCCTGACTGAGCCAGACAACTTCAACAGTTGCACCTTGGTTCAGTTATTTCCCATCAAACAACAGGAAACATTCCCACATTTTGGTCGGGGGTTTCAACACCAGCCCCCACCTCAACAATGGGTGTCCTCAAACCCGACGAAGACTTGACCGGCCTCGCGCCAGCAAACCTCCTCCACACCATCACCACCTTTCTCACAGCGCACTACCTCCTCCTCACCCTCTCCTTCCTCTTCCTCCGCGCCCTCGTCAAGAGATATGCCTCCCCCCTGCGGAAGTACCCCGGTCCCGTCCTGGCATCCATCTCCCGGCTCTGGAAAGTGAAATCTGTCGCCTCGGGCCGGACCCATCTCGAACATATCGACCTCCACCGGAAATACGGCCCCGTCGTTCGCATCGCACCAAACGAAGTCTCGGTCTCGTCCCCCGAGGCGGCGAGGACGCTCCTGTCAGCAGGGAAGAGATTTTTCAAGACGGATTTCTACGGGGTCTTCCCCCCGCCGGAGAACCCTGATATTTTCACCGAAACGAGGGAGGACGTCCACGCTATGAAGAAGCGGGTGGCGAACGTGCCGTACAGCATGGCGGCGATGCAGCAGCTGTCGCCGTTTATTGACGATACCATCGAGCTCTTGGCGACGAAAATCAACAACCATATCGAGTCGTCGCCCGATGGGGAGTTTGATTTGGGGGATTATTTGCACTATTTTGCGTTTGATGTGCTGGGGGAGGTGGCGTTTTCGAGGTCGTTTGGGTTTTTGAAAGAGGGGAGGGATGTGGACAACGCGATCAAGACGATTGATAACAGTCAGACGTATAATGGGATTGTGGGGCAGGTTCCGGAGTTGGATTTTTTGTTGCGGAGGAATCCGCTTTGGCAGTTTGTGCCTTGGTTGAGTACCAAGAACGCGTTGATTACGAGGATGGCGCTGGAGGAGATGGGGAGGCGGCAGCCGTTTGATAAGGATAGGGGGGGTGGGTTGAGGGGCGGGGTTGGGGTGGACGGGAGGAGAGATTTGATGGCTAGTTTGATACAGGGGCATTTGAGGGATAAGGAAAGGTTTGGGGTGGGGGATGTTTTTGCTGTGGCTCATGGGGCTATGTAAGTCTCTCCTTGTGGGAGGATTTGTCGAAAGATGGCTAATTCGATGGTGAAATAGCTTTGCGGGATCGGACTCGACGGCGTCGACGATGCAGAGCTTCTTTGGCATATTTGGATCGAAGCCCGTTTACAGGCGTTGCTGAGGAGATTGAGAACGCGGTGAACACGGGGGGTATCCCCGGCCGAGGGGAATATCACCTGGAATCAGTCGCAGAGTTTGGATTACTTGCAGGCCTGTCTCAAGGAAGCGATGAGGGTGAGGCCGGCGGTGGGGCTCAACATTACGAGATTGGTCCCGCCTGAGGGTGCGGAGCTGGATGGACATTTCTTCCCTGGAGGCACCACCATCGCGGCGAACGGGTGGGTGCTACATCGTGATAAGGAGACGTTTGGGCAAGATGCAGACGATTTCAGACCTGAGCGGTGGTTGGAGGACGAGGAGAGGGCGAAGAAGATGGAGAGGTATATGTTTCAGGTAAGCACCCGTTTTTGTTTGTCCGCATTGTGCGCTGGGAGATGCTGATGTTTTATTCTCGATAGTTTGGGGGTGGAAGCCATCTGTGTATTGGGCGGAACTTGGCGCTTCTGGAAATCAACAAGGTGATTCCACGGTTGTTGAGGGACTACAGGTTTGAGCTGGCGCACCCGGGCCAACCGCTCAAGGCCAATGCGTCTTTCTTTGTGGTGCAATCAGGATTGGAGGTGTTTATCAAGAAGGCTTAGGAAAACCTTCCTTCGTGCGTAACTGGGTGTTGGAGGTGTTATGTGTACATATATGGTGTCGTTTTCCAGCGTATTAGTTGCCACCAACTGTTTCACCTGTATGCATGGCCGTTGGGGAAATGATGAGTGATCGGTATCCGGCACGAGGTCTGTACAACAGGACATACCCAGTGGGGAGGGGGGTCGTGGAAATGGTCTGTACAACAAGACAACGTGGACATTGGTAGCCGCGCCTCACTGGGATATGTCTTGGCAGGAGATCACTACGATAAGCGGCCAACCACAAGGCCATGAGAAGCGCGGCCCCTCTATTCCTCTCGGCCCAAGCCTGCATTGAAGGGGCGCGGAAGCGGCTGCCGAGGCAAGCAAACGCGCTTCTCCGTTGGTTGGCGTTTTTCTATGTTGTACTGTTGTTTGCTTTGGGGTCCCGTCCAAGGGTTTGGGAGAGGATCAACATCACACAAAACAGGGAATAATTCTGGTGGAGGGTCGGTCGCTGATATTTTTTTTCTCTCCCCCAGCTTCTCTTTTCCGTCTGGTCTGATCAGTTTCACCCGCATTCTTTCCCGCACATGGCCTGGAAAGACGGAGAATTAACTGATGATGGCAATGGCGCTGCCAAATCTCCAGTACTCCGATCTGCCCGAGGCGGTTCACCGACAGCATGACTTCCCCGAGGTAGTCTCGGAGGATGCTCCCCAGGCGGTCGAGCGAAGCGGAGAGACGGCCAAATACCTTGCCTACGCCAATGTTCAAAACCTCGAAAGCAGCATCGACACAACCTCGGCCAAAGAACCTCCAGAACGACGCATCCTCGGCCTGAAGCGAAAACCCATTTTCATCCTGTCCATAATCGGCGCGGTCATTCTCATTGGTGCCATCGTGGGCATAGCCCTCGGCGTGACAATCTCCCAACGAAAATCCCCTTCCTCCCAAGAGATCAACATTGACGATTCCCTCTCCCCCAACGCCACCGACAACTCCCCACCAGCACCACCACCATCCCAACCCTCCATCAACCTCACCGCCCTCCCCTCCAACATCTCCCCCCTCTCCTCCCTCGCCTCAGCAAACTACACCGACCCCAAAACAAGCATCGTCCACCTCCACGTCTACTCCCAACTCCCACCCCCCTCC